ATTCTTTGAATTTCTTCTTGTAAGTCTTTGGCCATATTTAGGAGATCATTCTTGACTTTTTCGTCAATTCGAAAATTTTGGTTCTCTTCAATGATTGTAAACATTTTAGTTACTCTTTCTAAGATAGGCGCCAGTTCATCACGAGCTTTATTAGGAAGAAGTTCAATAACTTTTTTGAAAAATTTACTCAAATTAGACCAAAACTTGTTTTTATCTTCATGATACAGTTTGTTTCGATGTTTGTCCATATCCGTCTCAATGAGTAATTTAACCAAAAAATCCTGCAAAGTTTTTAAGAATTTTGCAGAACAAGCATTGCTTAGAACACTTGTAACCATTTCAACAAAACTCGCTTGACAAAGATTGGTTAAAACTTGAATTGTTAGCACAAACATATCTGGGCGAATATCGTCATTTAAAAATTTATCAAAATCATCCTTCCTTTTTGCCAACGCAGTTATTATTTCATCGCTATTCTTTGTGCCTAGTTCAGTTAAGTATTTTAAATCAAAACTCTTTCCACCAGACGCATTTTCTCGCTTGGTTTCCCTTCTTTGTTGTCTTTGATGATGTTGGTAGTTACCATATCTCCTTCTAGGCAGCTGTTCATTGTGTTGGTTCTTTCCACTTTGCCTTATTTTATTACGTGGATTGTTATGTTGCCTTATTGATAGTCTTTGGAAATCTTGATTGTTACCACGCCTTATTGGTGGTCTTTGATAATCTTGAATATTACCTGGCCTTATTGGCGGGTTTTGATCATTTTGATTGTTACCTGGCTTTATTGGCGGCCCTTGATTGTATTGATGGTTAGCACTTTGCCTCATCGGCTGTTCTAGATGTCCTAGGTTGTGCTCGTTGCTATTGAAATACACAAATATAATACAATAATTTTTCATTTGACCTTTTCAATAAAATTATGCTGTTTTATATACATGTGCGATTGTATGTATATACGTATGTATTAGGGCGGGTCGAAAATCTAACTTATCTCAAATCCCTTGGCAATAGTGAAAGTATATTGCAAAATATTAGTCTTTTATTTTAATTGTGAGAGCCCGAGCATCGACCGCGGAGTGACCCACAGCACACTAGTCGAATAAGAAAAATTCTTCTTAAAAATTCTGAGTTCAGCAAAAATGTTTGTTGCATGTTATTAGATAATGAATCCGTTAACGCAAAAGATAAACTCAAATATAATTTCTCGCAGCCCTTTAGCTTATCGTTAATCTCAAAGTTATCTTTTTTCAATAAAATTTTAATTGTTCTCTTGATAATTGCACTGGAATATAGTCAAAAGATGGCGTGCATTTATGTCGCTGGTTCCAAATATTCTAATCTTTTTTTAAAATTAGCTCTAGTTTGCGAATTTTTGTAAATTTAGGAACAATTTCGGTAGCTCTAATAGAAAAGCCATTATTTTCCATCAACGTGGAAAAATTTTGTTTATGAAAATGAGTATGGAAACACTGAACAGGTACAACTTCTAGAAACAATAATTCGTGTACTTATGTTTATGCTTACAATATAAAAATTGCAAATATAGTAAAATTACAAAAAATTTTGTTCAACATTTTTTTTATTTTAAAATAATTTGTTTATAATCTGAACGATTTTCATCATTAAACTATCATAAATCAGTAACAGTAAGTCTCGCCTTCAATTTGGTAATTATTCCGTACCAATCGAGTAACATTTACCAAAGTTATATCGAAAAACTTAAGTGGATCTCCAGTTTTTTGATCAAAAATATTTCTCTTCAATTGTATAAATAACCTTTAAAGGAAAGAACCGGATTACAAAAAAAAGTGTGCCAGGGAGTGACTTTTTTCGTTCAAGCTGAATGCAAAGCAATATCGTCCGATCGGAGAGTCCTCAAACGGATTTCCCAGGATATTTATTTATTTGGTCTACAGAAAAATGTTTTCTTACAGACAAATGAGAATAGAACATTTAGATACATAGTAATTTATAATAATAATAATAATAATAATAATAATAATAATAATCACCCTCGTTGCGAGAGTGGTGTCGTATGCAAGTCGTTTTTCGAGAGTCGAATCGTATCGCAAATTGCACGTCATTGCCTAAAATTTCCATTCGACTAGTGTATTAAAACGGAAAAACTTGGCAGCACTGTATAGTTTTCGACGATTTTCGTCATTTACTTATTTCAGCACGACAGTAAACAATGCCAATGTTGTCGAGTGGTACAATTTAGCCTAATTTACGACTTACGCAATGAGGCTGAATGTCAGCATAAAATAGCAAGTTTGGTAGCTGGCGAGGCCTAGTCTTCAGTCTACTTTTGTGTGCGGCGGGCGGAAAGACCTAGTTTCCGCTCCGCGCTGCGGACAGGCTGTTGATCAAGGTCGGTAAGGCCGGGTTTCCGATCCATGTTCCCGAAGACATTACTTCGTATGTGTGGCAGGCGGAAGGCTCTAGTTTCAGCTGCGCGCTATGAACAAGCTGTTGATCAAGGTCGGAAAGAACGAGTTTCCGATCCATGTTCCCGGAGTCATTACTTTGAATGTGTGGCAGGCGGAAAGCTCTAGTTTCAGCTGCGCGCTGTGGACAAGCTGTTGATCATGGTCGGAAAGGCCGAGTTTCCGATCCATGCTCGTATTGTCTTACGCGATCGCGAAAATATACGAAGCCGATTACAGTTGTACTAAGCAGTCATAGATATTGTGTAATTTATCGTTCCCGGTTAAAGATATTAATTTATTTGGTTACAAAAAAGCGATTCACGTTTACGTTTACCTCATAAACTGAACAGAAATACAGTTAACCAGCTGAACGATAAGATGTTATGTAAGGGTTTACATGTTATTTATTCAAAATCTCAAGTAAGGTTTTCTTAATGGTAAAATGTGAGT